CCTCCACAACATGCTCCACCCGGATATCAGAGTCTCCAAGGAGGTCCTCAACCGCCGATGGATAGCTATGCGGTGTGCCAGTCTCTTCGGGATTCCGTAGGAATTACCTTATATCAAGTTGATTTATAGAGCGCTGTTCAAAGATCTGAGAAAGAGCTCGAGATGATGCGCCATCAATTGGGTTCAGCACTACCAGATAGACCAGAATCGTTTGATCCACACATCAGACATCTGCTTGCAGCAAGAAGATTAGATCAGTCAGCGCTTGTTAATGTAAGTTCTTTCATGATTAGCTGTTTTTTTATTAAACAAAATCTTTCTCACTGTTTTGATAGGTTGCTGTTTTTCTTAATTTATCCTGGCTCGTTCAGATGTATCTGAAGTGCGGAGGTCAACAATGGGCAGAAGCTGTAGACCTTGATCTAGCGATGGCGGTTGTAAAATATTGCATGGACAGTCGTGTTGATGGTTTGTATCATTATTTGACTTTGTTGTTTTAGCATACATATTATCCTAAGCATAGCAATCTTGCCAGTCATTTGTGCCTATAGACTTCTCTTCAAAGACGTTTTGGCTAGATTACAGCTGTTTTTATTTTGTCACTTTTCATCTTCCTCAAATATACAAAGTGTCCCAAATAGATGTGCACATGGTTTAATCATTAATAATTCTTTTGCATTCATGTCTTTCGCCGAGCTTAGGACCATTTTGTAGAGCGAGGTCAACTCAAATTTACAGTATGAAGCAAATCACCAAACACTTCATTACTGTAGGATTATGATATGACTCAAAGCATACAGCGCCAATGTGGAATAGGCCTTTTGATAAAAAAATCTCAAAAAGTCGGGAAATTCGTGTAGCAAAGTTGGACTACACTTGATTTCACTACACAACTTCCAAAGAATTTTTCGAACTTTTTTAGTGGTGTAGACACATTTCTGACGAAGACTGGAAAAACAGCTGTTATCCTAAACCTGAAATAATTCATGAAAGAAGCGTTGGGTGAAGTGCAAATTTCATATTTGAAATCAGCGACCTCGATTAGCCCAGAACAATACTTTCTGCCTGTTTGGTTTTCTTCCTAAGGCAAAATATCGTTTTCAATGACCTGAAATCCTTCTCGAAGTTCCTACTGTAATCCTGCAGTATGAAGAGTGTTTGGTGATTTGCTTCATACTGTACATCTAAGTTGAACCTCGCTCTACAAAACGGTACCTCAAGC